ATTCTGCGTGAATAGATCAAAAAGGTGGATTTAGTTCCAAGAGGCATTTGCTGTGCTTAGCCTGGCTTGGCAAGAGGGAAGGCAGAGCTTCAGGGAAGTGTCAGGAGAAGAGCTGCCATGCACACTCCTTGCTTTGCAGCTTGTGTGTGCCCAGCACTGCCTGGAAGGGGTTTTCTTTGGGGAAGGGAGGAAGAAGAATTTGGACTTTAGGAAGAAAATGCCTTTAAACAATCTGTAGATGAGTTAACTGTAAAACTTCAGTTTGTCTCTTAGCAAGACTCACTTTTCTATGACTTACACGAAAATAATAATTTTATTTTTGTGTATGTGCAACCAGCATTTAAATAATTTTCTCTCATTAAGTACTTGCTTGTGTTTGCTGCAAGGCAGTGCTGGCTTGGAGTGTGGCTCCACTGCAGTGGCCATGTTTTGGTGTGTTCTTTCCTCTGTTCTTTCTTTCTTCCTTTTTGGAATTTACTTGGTTTCTTTCCTTTGACTAGCATAGCATATCGTCGTGTCATTCGTGTCTATCAGTATGAAGTTGGGGATGATCTATCTGGAAGGTTTTTTTCCTCTTATTTTCTTACCTCACTTTGGTTTTCAAACGCACTCTTTAATTCCAAGGCTCGCTTTCCTTCCAACTAACTTTCACGGCTTAGAGATGCTTGGAGGTTTTTTTCCCTGTTGGTTCTTTCCAYGGTTGGTTCCCAGCTTCCTGCTCAAGGCTCTGGGCGTGTGCTTCATCTCTAGGCGGACGTTKAGTCTGAGCCTTAACCCTGTGGTGAGAAACACCCAGATGTTTGGTGCATTTTCATTGCTGCAGAGTGATTCAGCACTTGAAATCCCCATTCTCAAGAAGCTCAAAAGCTTGTGGGAGGACAGAGTCCCCAGTGGGGATGAAAACCTGGTTTTAGTGACTGAAATACCAGAGATTCAGGTTTTAGGAACTGAAATACCCCAGAGTCAGAGGACACCCCACGTACACAGCACCCACACTCACTGTCCATGTGTGGGTCATGCAGTGCGAGCTCTCACCGTACGTGTTGGAAGGACAGAGATTCCCAAACACGGCTGCTTAGAGATTGCTTGGGATCTTGGGGTGGGGGGAAAGCAGCATCCAGAGACTGTCCATAGCTAGTCTGTGTGAAGGAGATCTTGGAGCCCCTGGCCACGGTGGGGACGTGCATGTAAAGCTCAGGGTGGAAATCACGGGGCAGAGTGGCTGAGCCTCAGCTGCTCTGGGTGCAGCATGGRCAGGTGGGGTGGGAAAGGCACCTTTCCACCAGGCACTGCTGAGCAGCAGAGGTCTGTAGCTCTCTGCAGGGATTATGCCACATTATGATTACTTTTCAACCAAACCAGTAGTTCTCACCATCTTTTTTTACCCTCATTTTCCCCTTTGTAACACACCTTTGTAGAGCTCCTGTACCTGACTGCAAATTCAGCCCATCCCCAGTGACTCACCTGCAGTTGGTGTGTGTGGTGTGTGCTGGGCACGGGGCAGGGGGTGGGACTGCACTAAATTCTAATTCCATGAGGTCCAGTAAAGCGGGTGCTTTGAGTCTGGCATGAAGTGTGGCTGCTGATCACGTTGCCTTTCAAATGGGGCTAGAAATTAACTATATRCAGAAATAAGAATCAGACAAAATGAACACTGTCAGTCTGAAATAGGATGAGTCAGCATGAACAAAACACAAAAACAGTTTAAATACCTGAAAGGATTTTTCATTTCAAGGAAGGACTGTTAATTTCAAGCCCCACATGCCATTTTTTTATGAGGTAAGTGCCTTCTCTCACTGTTGTTCTGTGTTTAGGTCATGTATGGTGGAGGAATCAGGAACGCTGGAGTCACAGCTGGAAGCTACTAAAGTAAGTGATGTACACTTATGGCTAAAACAGCATTTCCAGCTGGCTTGGGAATACAGGGTGGGAAGGGAAATGCATGTAATTATATGGGAAAATCTTAATTGATTTTAGACATTTGGASTACTGAAGAGACCTCTGGGATTATCTATTTACATATCTGATGTCTACTTACTTTGCAGGCCATGAAACAACACTGATGTAGTTTTCCTTTTTTTCCCCTTTTTCCTAAAGGACATGGAGTAGGGCAGAGACAATATAGTATTTTCAGCACATTTCCTAATAAGAGGTTTTTTAGTCTCCAGAACTGGTTTGCAAGCCCAGATGTCCAATAGTGAGCATGAAAATGAATATTGCTCTGCATCTTATTTCACAAATCTCAGTATATGTACATAAAGTCCTAGGAAAAAAAGAAGAGTATAACTCTTCTTCCCCTGCCAGCCTCTGTTCTAAATTTTTATGATAGTTTTTTTTTGGTGCTCCATGATTTTTATCCTCTTTGCTCCCTACTCACAGCGCAAGCATCAGGAGATCCGAGCTATGAGGAGCCAGCTGAAGAAGATTGAGGACCTAGGAGCAGCCATGGAAGAGGCACTTATCTTGGACAACAAATACACAGAACACAGCACTGTGGGGCTGGCACAGCAGTGGGACCAGCTGGACCAGCTGGGCATGAGGATGCAGCACAACCTRGAACAGCAGATCCAAGCCCGGTACTGCCCGGCCCATGTGTGGTTTGAAGTGTCTGACTTGGGGTGGGGAGAAAGACAGGAGCCAGAGCTGTCCATACCTGCAGCCAGTCTTGCATGGTCTGTGCTAAGGAGTCTCCTGTGTTCAGCCCAGTGGATGCAATAAGCTTGTACATCCCCACCACTTTCTGGTTCCCTTCAGAGGGATGAAGGGAGCAGTTTTGTAATAGCTCCTGTTGGCCATGAGCAGTGGTGGGATCATAGTGGAACAGATTTATTCTGTGGAATAAGTGTGTACAAGTGTCCCCACATAGAATGGTTGTTTGCTCCTTTCTCCTCACCACATGGTCCAGCTACTGGCTGGGGACTGATGGGAGTTCTGCAGTTCAGGAGCTGTTCACCAACTTTGCTGCTTCCTTTTCAGGAACACCACTGGAGTCACCGAGGAGGCCCTGAAGGAGTTCAGCATGATGTTCAAGTGAGTTGCAGGGAACACATGCCAGAGGAACACTTGGGAGATATTTCTGGCACATGGATGGCTCCTGTTTGTAGGATCCATTTGTGGCTCTGTTGTTGTCTGCCCCACTTTGTGCTGAGCTGCTCCATTCTCTGCCAGAGGACAACAGCCTCCAGGCCCTGCTGCTGGTAGTGCCAATGCATTCCAACTGGGAATACAGCTGGGGTTTGGGTTTTTTTTTGAGGGGGGATGATTTTTAAGCAAAGTAAAGAATTTGTGCATACTTCTAATATATGTTAGAGGTATTTATTRATACAAACTCATTTGTCCAGAATAGCAGCTGGTTATAACCTTGATCAAATTTTCAGCCCAGTTTACAGCCCTCAGGACTCAACAACTGACACTTACACATGGGTTCTGTTTTTTTTTGTTTTTAGGCACTTCGACAAGGATAAATCTGGACGACTTAACCACCAGGAGTTTAAGTCTTGCTTGCGCTCTCTTGGCTACGATCTGCCCATGGTTGAGGAAGGAGAGCCAGACCCTGAGTTTGAGTCTATTCTCGACACTGTAGATCCCAACAGGTACATGGGTTGGACCTTCTGTGCAGTAAAATACACAGAGGTATTGGCTGGGGAGTTGGCTGGAAGGTGTCTCACAGGCTGAGAGCTGTGGTTGTATTTACAATGACCATGTGAAAGCCTTTAGGGAAAGGCAAGACTGACATTTGTTAAGAAAACATTCACTTTCAGGAATTATTTGGTGTTGAGTTTCCTGTGCTAARACTTCCAGTCCTTCCAGAATAGTTSCATCCCCTCTCTGGWGGGCCTGGCAGTGCTGTGCTCTGGGTTCTCACACTGTGTTTCACTGGCAGGGATGGACACGTCTCGCTGCAGGAGTACATGGCCTTCATGATCAGCCGYGAAACAGAGAATGTGAAATCCAGCGAGGAGATCGAGAGCGCTTTCCGTGCCCTCAGCTCCGAGGGAAAGCCCTACGTGACCAAGGAGGAGCTYTACCAGGTAAGTGCTGGTTGTGGCCCCCCAGGGAAGAACACACAAGATCTTTGTTCATAGGTAAAGCCCATCGTGAATGGTTTGGAGGGTCATGTCACTGGGGCTGAGGGATCCCCTGCAGCAAATACAGAAATTGCTGCAGCAGACCTACTCAGTTGCTTTCTTGGCWCTATAGAGGAAGAGCAAAAGCTTTATGTACCAAAGAACTGCTTAGGGTGAGTAAAACAAGACCTGCTCAAAGGCCTGAAAGTGCACTGTCCTCAGAACTTGGAGCTTACCTTTCATCATTTGGGAGACTAGAGGGGGATGTTTCTGCAGACAGAGATTCAAAGGAAAAGCTTGAGCCTAAGCTTAAGTATGAACATCTCCCTCGCACTGCTCTGCCAAGACAGCAAGTTTTTCCTGTCTGAATCCCGACAGCTGGCAGGGAAATAAAGAGTTTGCAGTGYTTCCTTGTGCCAGTTACCTGTTGTGTCTTCGGGGGGAAGACTCTGGTCAGGCCTTCCAGCCCTTAACCAAACAGTGCCAGCAGCCAGAGCATTTCCATGCTGGGTGTAATTGTGCTGCTCTGGTTTCTGCCCYGGGGAATGGGAGGGCTGCCTGTCAATGCCCCTTGGCAGCACCAGAGCCCTCTCATCTCCACGCTGTCTCTCTTTCAGAACCTGACCCGGGAACAGGCCGATTATTGCATCTCTCACATGAAGCCCTACATGGATGGCAAGGGCAGGGAACTGCCTTCTGCCTACGACTACATAGAATTTACACGTTCACTCTTTGTGAATTGATCTGAAACACTAGTACCAAAAGATGCAAAGGACATGCTCACGTTTGCTGACTGTAGCTCTGCATGTGTCTCTCTCTCTTTGTGCTCTACAATAATCAATGTTACTTTATGATGTAACCTTAAAGTGCTTAGCTTAAAACTCTTAGGGAAAAGAAACATGTTGCAGTGTGCTTCAATAAAAGTTACTGGTCGAACCACATCATCTTTAGTGTTTAATGGCTAAATGCAAATTTAACTGTTACATGGAGGCAACTCCASCTGTTGGTTACCTGTGTTTTCCGGGCCAACACAGGAGCAGGTGAGTGGGGAGCTGTTCCTGGAGCTGTTGTACTGCTTCATTGTCTGTTCTGCTTCATTAGTCCATGATCTCACTTGCCAGCTGCTCCAGGTGATTCATTTCCCTTGGTCCCTGCTCGGTGAAGTCAGAGCTCAGCTGCCAGACTCTGACTGTCCCAGCAGCATCCCCTGCTGCCAGGAGCCGCGTGTGCTTGGTGTTAAATTCCAAACAGTACACKGGGCAGTCACTCACGGACTGCTTCAGGGACACAGTGGGCTTCTGCATGCTCCTCCCCAGGTCAAACAGGTGCACCTCTCCTGCAGACACAGACATTCATTGCAGCTTCATGGCAACAGACATCGTATCTAACAGCAGGTGAGTATCTGCTTAGTCTGGAACTGAGAGTTATTTTTAACCTGTTTCCCCTGCTGATGGGTGTCTAGGCTGTGACAGACAGCTGACATCACTGCAGGCAGCACACATTTGTTCTGCTGTCAGAAACCTGAAACCAGCTTGCCAAATTCTGTGAAATCTGCATTCTTCAACTCAAAAATCTTTGGGCAATTTTCTRAGGAAAAAGTTCTCATTTTAAACCATTAGTTCTGAAAGTAGATTTGAAAAACAAGCTGGAAATAGATTTAGCCACAGTGATCTTTGTGTCCTGTRAGTGACTGTGGCAGCAGATTTAAAGGTACCATCAAAAATGAAAAATAACTGTGCTGGGTCGCCTTGCTAAAGTTAGAAATTACTCCCTTGCACTAATTATACAGTGCAAACAATGGCCTCTGCTTTGTGCTTGTGGGATCTGCTAATCAGTACAATCGACTTGCACTAATTATACCCAGCACACTCTTAATTTTACACCCAGAAGGAGGCACCTGCAGTTACTTGCCTTCCCCAGATGCAGCTGCAAAAACCAGTGGTCGAACTGGAGACCAGCGTACACAGAACAGGTATTTCTTTGATAACTGTAGAGCAAACAGGGGCTGTGTCTGCAACATGGAGTGTAAGTGAATTTGTCCGTCGGTCCCACAGCTCAGAAAGAGGTTCCTGGGGGAGGGAGGAAGCAAGAAACAACTCCTTGTTATATTGCTAAAGATGAAGAACAAAAATCAGTCAAGGAGCATGACCTCGGACCATATTCCTGCTTTGTGAAGGTCTGAGTGTGTTTCCTAAAGCAGCAAATGCCAGGCTCTGGGCTGTAGAGATGCAGCTTTGTTACTGCCCTCAATTAAGCTTAATGAGGGCTTGTATTGACCACTGATGGGTTGTGGCCCAGGGCTGCCTGAGAACTGCTGATCTAGAGCCGAGCATTGTTGGAGCTGGGCTTGTCTCATGCAAATTAAATGCAAACCTGGGCTGTCAGCATGTTTCACTGGAACAGGGCTTGGGGCCTCCTGGGATGKTGGGTGAATTGCTGGCAGAGATGGGAGTCTCTCATTTAAATTCTGGCAGCTACTGGTGAGTTTTCTTATGTCAGAAAAATCTTACTGATTTAGTAAGATACTTAGTGATCTGCCCAAGAATTTCAGTTCCTTGTCAGTTGTAGTATCTAGAATGATCTAAGGMAGGTGCTAACATTGCTCATGTGCCCACATGCAGCATATTCTAGAGGGCAGCTTCACCAGAGCCAGTGGATGTTGTATCTCCTACAACGGCAAGTTCCCAATGCCAGGTGACCCTTTCTTGGATCTTGTACACACACCCCCAAGGGCTATTTTAAAAACATGTGTTTAGAGCCAACATTGCCATTGTGGCTCATGCAGCACTTGCCTGTGGAAGGGTGAGCAGCTCACAGAGTAGACAGGCCCAGCATGGCTGGAGAAGGCGAGTTCTGCCGGTGCCCTGAGGGGAACGGAGCCACCGGGATGTGGGAGAGCTGGAGTCTGGGCTGCAGTGGAGCACCTCAGGGAATACCCACCTTCCACTCCCACAATGAACACACCGGGATCAAAGTGRGAGAAGGACAGCGAGGTCACCCCCACGGCTGCCTCTCCCCAGGCCATCTGGGGAAAGAGAGACAGAGCTGGTGTGAGCTGGGGCTCCAGAGAGAGGCACASGCAGGCAGAACCTGCTGGGGACCCAGTGGGTTGTTTATGGCCCTGCTTGTAGCACTGCTCAGCCTTTAACCTCTGAATCCCTCCCCAAAAGKGGTTCACATGAATTAACATTACAAGCAAGTTCTCCATCCCAGCAACTTCTCTTTGAAGCATGGCAAAACCTTGGTTGTTGCCAGTCTTCCAAGAATGATTTCCATATGGCAARGGAGATGTGGATCAAGGGTTAGTGTGTATATTCTGAAAGGACTTTTCTTGGCRCTTCTCAGAGAAGGGCAAGCTCTRACAYTTGGGATCCAGGGTTTGGGGTGTTTTTGTGGAATGAGCTCTCTTTGAGCTGCTGAACTCACCTTCTTCAGCCGAGTGCTGCGAGGRATCTGCTGAGCCACGATGGCAAATCCTTCGGCCAAGGCCAGCCGCCCATCCCGTTCCTCCCTCCACACCAGGATCTTCCCATCTGTGGACACGCTCARCAGCCGGGGGTGGTTTCTGTGCTTCTCAGGTAACCAATTAACCTGTTCCAAATGCCATGAGCTCAGTTCAATGGGGATTGTCACAACTGCCCAGCCCATAGTGCCTGCACCTACCTGGACATAGAAGCTGAGCCAGGCACCATCCTGGYACTGAACCAGCTTCTGCTGGGAGCTGGCACAGACACAGATGCAAGGAGAGAAATGCATCCAGGCATTTAGGGATGAATTCTCCAYTGCAGTTTCATTGTGGTTCACCTGCCCTCAGTTTTAGGTTGGGCATTTATGGCACTTTGAACCAGCTACAAACAACCACATTTTCCTGACTATCAGATGAGAAAATACACAGATTGTCCAGAGTCATAAGGCCCCAGAAGGGAAAAATCCTTAGGAAGCCAGACTGCATAACATGCTTGTAAATCCCCTTAAAATATGTGGCTTTAAGCTTCCAGTTAAGGATCAGTGACACTTTGTGACTTGKGTTTTTAAACCACTCCAAGTATCATCGGCTGCATCTCCATTAATAAATKGTTAGTGTGGGAATGGGTCTGCTCTTCACTTGTCCTGGACAGTGAGAAGTTATTTTTTACAGGCTAAGTGTCTGTTCAGGAGCTAGATTTGGGGCCAACCAAAAGAGAATATAACTGCTGAAATGTCTATAAACTGCCTGACTGTGGATGGAAACCAAAGGGATGACACAGAGCAGTGGCAACTCTCGTCTGCTCCAGTCCTGTCTGCTGTTGATGTTCTGTTACCTGATAGACTGGGTCAGTGTGGGTGTCATCTGTCATCCCTGTCCTCCAGACCACAGGGTCTTCTGTCCTGCTGGTGTCCCACACCACCARCTCCCCACTGAACAGGCCACCTGAAAGGACAAAGGTAAAACATCTAAGTGACAGCTCAGCTCAGAACAAATGCACAAATGGAGCTGTGGTGGATAYAGACCCACCAGCTTCAGAGGTTGGGCACCTCTGTGCAGAGCACAGCCAGTTCTGGGGTAAGAGAATATTGCTCTGCTGAAATAAGTTTGTTATTCCCTTACAGCCAGGGCTGGATTTCTTTCTGTCACCCCTCTCTGAGGGGATCATATAAAGGCAGATATCACTGAAGAGGCAGCAAGTCCCAGCTCAGATGCAACAGTGCACTTATCKGTGTTGGTGAACATTACTTCCTCAGTTTGAGGAGCTGCAACACTGTTTTATTTAATAGGAAATCTGAGGCTGGACTCAGAGAGAGAAATGAAAGGATCCAGGGTGCAGGAAAAAAAAAGGTTTCAAGCATGGTCTAAGGGCAAAACCCACCAGCTATCAGTGATGGCTGGGAGGGATGGAAAGCCAGGCACATGACAGAGCTGGGAACATCCACCACCAGGTCAGGGTGCTGTGGATTCAATCCYCTTCTGTCCAGATTCCAGGTACAAACGTAGGATTTTTCTGTGCTCCAGTCCCCATCATCCAACCTGAAAAACAAAAAGCTGTATCTTGCCTTGCGTGTTCCAAAGGGTGCCAGTGCTCTGGGAAACCCCACTGGTCATCTCAATGTGCTGTTCTGTGTCCCCTCATGAAGGAATCATGAGAAGATGGAACTTCTCTGTGGGCTGGTTTATACAGGATATGCCAGGGCACATTCTGTGCCTAGTAAATCWCAGGTACAATTTCCCTATTCCAAGACCTACTCACCATTCAAATAATGGGAACAATCAAAAGGGCGCATATGGAAAGTTCATGGAAGGAATTCTGCTGAGGATACCCACAGACACAGAAACTGCATTCTCATCTGCAAACAGCTGTAGACTGGGAGAGCAGAAGGAGCAACTAACATACAGGTTTGCCCTGTTTTACTCTTCCCTACATGTTCCCTCATGGATATGCTTTTTGGTGGGGCTTTTAATATAAGGAAGAGGAACACTGAAAAAAAAAAAAAAAAAAAGTAAAGGCCTTACACCAGTAAAGCCAAGAAAGGAGGGGCATTAATGTATTAGATAAACAATTTCTTATTTCAGAAATCCTTAAATGTGTGTTGTTACATGTCCATGGCACCAGGCACATGTGTGAACAGGTGCCAGGTTCATCTAGGGTGCTCAAAGACCACATTAAACATCACGATCTTAGTGAAGATAAAGCACATTCTCCCAAACCTCACCTACAGATATTTGCAAGTGCATCTGCTCTTTATATTTTTTTAACAGAATCTACCTAAAAACAAATCAGTAAGATCATGTATCCGTTTTCAGGGTGGGGGAAAGGTAGAAGAAATAAAAGATGTGTTTTTAGACTTGACTGAGATTTTGTTACTTTGAAGATGAATTGTTTAACTTCCATAAGGTGTATTTTTATGTCAGTTTATTACTGCTGAGAGAGCAAATATATTTAGACCTTAGGTCAGCCTGAGACATCACCTCAGCCCCAGCTGCAGTGCCAAATCCATCTGGATACTCACCGGCCATAGGAACACGCAATGACAGACCCTGTTGCATTCCATGAGACACTGGTGACCTGCAGGTTTTGATCCTGAGCCTCTGGGTATGACAATGTGTGCAAACACARCACCTGAGAGAGATCAAATCCAAGCACTGAAGCAACAATCTCTGAACACAAGAGAAATGAGATCTGTGCCCACCCCTGTTGTGACTGTGTTATAGTGTGGGCTTTCCTCAGTCCAAGGATTTATGTGAAAAGGTTGTTGAACTCCTGTTGGGAAACAAACCCACAACACAACTGTCACTCAATCACTGCCTCTCAGAGAGTGCACAGCTCTGGAAGGCTGTGCCAAAGGATTCACAGCAGCCACTAGGTGTGGGTCTGTGAGTCTCCACAAGAAACAGTTTTAAAATGCCAGTTTCAACATGTACTGTCTGATACAAATTGCTTCCATTCCTGAGCACTGTGCACTCACATAATCTAAGTAGGAAGAGCTGCCAACTCACTGACTGCAACTGTTCCTAGATCCCTGCTAGGCTGGAGTGCTCTGAAGGGGCTGAAGAAAAGCCTACACCAATGCAGGCTTCCTCCTCTCACTCAACTCAGTCACTCAACTGTTCTTCAGCAGGAAGAACAGTTTTACCAAACAAGCAGAAAGCTGAAAAAAAAACCTCAAAGCAAACCCACCTAGTAATGTTTAATTATTAGAACGTGGCAAGAACAGTGACAGCAGTAAGGAATAGAAGTAATGACTTAGACTAACTGGAACCAACCCTGCTTGGACAATGACCTGAATTCTGTCACTTACTGTTTCATCCTGATCTGTCCAGTTCACTTCAAAGCCATCAAAGGCGTGGCTTTTCCAGTTTTTGTTCAGCTCTTTGATAACAGTATCCTCCACTCTCTGAAGGAATGACAGAAGGCCAGTGTAATCTACTTGGACTTCTTGCTGGACGTTTTGGACAGAATCTTTGCTTTGCTCCGTCTGCACTGCAGCATCTTGGGCTGTATGAGACTGTGCTGCAGCTTCTGCTGTTGAAATTTTCCCAGTCTGGCAAGATTTCTAGTAAAAGAAAACAGGCAGTCTATAATCCAAGCAGRAAAACAAACATTGCACAAAGCATTCAAAGCACCTTCCCCTTTCTGGTGTTTCACAGAGACATCCCAGCCCCTCTGCACAGGTTCATGGTTAAACACAGGGTGCCGGTCCAGGTGTCGGTGATGTATTTGTGACCTTCCCATAACCTGATCTGAGGCAGAGACACCCGACTGCCAGTCAGGTTGAGGCAGTGCTCTACAGCATGGAATGGGAAGGACGGGAGAAGGTAAGAAGGCAGCGAGCTCCAGAGTAACGAGCGAGCAGCGCACACGGTGACAGCACAGCATTATCGSCTCTCAAACTGCGGGGCGGCAGCCCCTCGGGCGGTTCTTTGCCAATTCGCACGTAGGGGCCAAATCAGCAAAACGCCAAAAGGGCAGAGGCGGCGGGCAGACACSGACCCCGCTGTCCCGGCCCCGCACGGTGCCAACATCTCCCTGCGGGCGAGGTTTCGGTCCCGGGCCGCACTGGAGCYGCAGAACCTGCGGGAGGGTCACGGACGAGCCCGGAGGGATAAAGCCGCGGCCAGATCCCGGAAGGTCCGGGGAAGGGGCTGCCCTGACAGCCGCCCCCCTGCCCRGAGGGGCACCCGAGCCCCCCTGCCCCCAGGACCAGAGCGCGGAGCGGGAACGCCCCGCGGGTCTCTCACCGCCTCGCAGCGCGCGCTCCGGGCGCTCCTCCACAGCGACTGCACATCGGCACCGGGAGCCGTCACGTCCGCGAACATGCCGGGACCGGAGAGGGCCCGGCGGTCCCGAGGGGATCGGGGGGTCGCTCCCGGGGAATCGGGGTTCGCTCCGGGGGGATCGGGGGTCGCTCCCGGGGGGATCGGGGTTCGCTCCCGAGGGGATCGGGGGTCGCTCCCGAGGGGATCGGGGGTCGCTCCCGAGGGTCGCAGCCGTCCCGCTCCCACCGCCCGCGCCTCCGGTTCCCATGGAAACGGGCGCTGTGCAATGACGTCACCAGCCTGCGCGCGGTAAACTGAGCCGAACGGCGCCATGTTGGGGAAGGGCACGGAGGGGCTGTGCGGGGCGGGCGGCGGTTCTATGCSGGACACGGGCACGGGCTGCACCGGCACCTTTGTTGGAGCCGTGCGGCTGACGGAGGCTTCTTCTTGCCCTTCGGCCGCTCCTGCCGTACTCGCGCTGGGGTCCCGCTGGTCTTGCTGCGCCGCCGGGGCACGAGTGGCGGCACAGGCGGGAGGGCGTGGGGGCTGCCAGGAGTGAAGATGGCGGCGGGGAGGGGGCGACAAAGCCGAGCGCGGTGGGGAGGGAGGTCGGGCCGTCCTGTGAGGGAAGCGGGGTTTGAAGAGAAATCCGAGACTGTCGGCGCAGGAACCCCGGTGTCGTGCCTGTGGCTGCCCCGGAGCCACRGGCGGCCGTGTTTTGAGCCGCTGACGCGCCTTAGTGCGACTCGGGACGAGGCCCAGCRGAGACCCCGCCCTCCTCGGGGAATTCTCCCTCATGTCGGACACAGCGGTGGAGTTCCCGGTCTATCWCCGTGTGTTTGCACAGGGAATGGGGCCGGGGGCCACCTCAGTGCACACACAGAGCCGGAGGTGTGCTCTGGCTTTGCTCTCAACCTTCGTTGGTTTTAATGGGGGAATTATGGTAATTTATGGCGAGGGTGAATTACCGTGTGACCGAGCTCGCTGCACGCCCGCGGGGCAGCTCTCCGGGAGTCACCCCGGTAGCCGGGTAACAGCCGCTGTACCTGGATAACCTGTGCTGTTCCCTGTTCCAGGGACACTGGCTGGAACAGCTTCTTTAAGTGATTACTCCTAACAGGTATGACTGTGCTTGGAGGATTTTTCTAACGAACTCATTGGAACAACTTGATGATGAATGCAGAGGCTAAATTTAGTGCTGGCATAAGCRGGCACAGATGCACCAACTTCAGTGGAGTTATTCTGGCTGTTGCTGGGAAGGAGTCTGGCCTGTGTGTAGGAATCACGATTGCAGGACACAGAGTAGGAGCGCAGCAGAACGGTCGTAGTGCTTTCACCTCGAGCACATGTGAATACATTTATATCATAGCTGAGTGTAGGGATTCTTCCTCGGAACTAAAGTATTTCATAATTAATATCTAAATAAGACTCCMTAAAACTGWTAAAGAACTATTACAGCCATTTTAYAGASAGTGRAACTGAAGCAGAAGGAGGTTCAGTGGTGCCTCCTTCAAGAACAAGAAGTCTCAATGAAACTGAATCCTCCAGAATTTCAAATCCTGGCTGTGTATCTGCTGTGATTTTTCCCATGGCTGGTGTGGACCATCACAACATCTCACAGAAGAGCCAAGAACACAAAAGCATAAACACCCTTGGGCTGGACTGATGGCCCTTTTAGCTCTGTCATCCCTCTCTGATTAGCACAGGAGTTCATCTGAATTTCCAAAGTCCGAGTTTGGAATCTCCAGCAGCAGCTGGTTCGTGTGGAAGCACAAGCAGTAGCAGTTGGAGACTGTCRGGATGTAACTGAGCACCTTCCCAGCCCGCTTCTCCTGCAGACAGCCTCCTCATTTTGAGTCCCTGCAAGGGGCAGCTTTTCATGTGTTGAAAAACTGATACTAAATATTTAAACCCAGTAGCGGAGTGGTTTTCTTAAGAGGGTCTTAATATTTAAGATTTATYCCCTATAAATAGATCATCTTCAGTCATCATTAAATTATCTTTAATTGGTATGATTAAAACTGCCAAGGCATATTACTCTTTMGTAGAGGAGTAAATATTACGAGTGTGAATTAATATACAGGCTGCATCATCATGAAAATGCTAAGCACAAATTTAGCAAACTGCAATTCAAAACTTTAAATAACTTGTTGGGGAAAAGGAGAGAAGTTTGAGGTTTTTTTGAGATGGCAGAGATAAGAAAACTGGAATTTAAGTATGTGAAACACACCAAAATAAATCAATTTTTAAGCGAGTAATATGCAAAGTTACTGCAAATGTAGAACATGTTCCCTGTATTGTGGTGCATGTCTGGGCTTTTTCTTCCCTGAGGATGAAAAAGAAGCAAACAGYTCCAGACAAGGACTGTTCTAAGTARCTGCACTTTGATCCTTTATTCCAACTTCTCTGATTTGCTGGGGTTTCAACATATCAAAGGTGTTTCAAGAAATCTTACATTGCTTATTTTTTTCTGGCCTGGCAGTATCAGATATATGGATGTTTTTGTTTCACAAAACACATCAGAAATAAGGCAAAATCGGAGATTAGTGGGGGAGGGCTGTTACTTGCCKGAGGCTACCCAGTCTCTCTGAAGTGGCTGCTTTTACACTGCTGATCTGTGCTTTTCCCTCTCTGTTTCATGAGACAAAAGTAGGAAGTTTTCACTTTCACGTAAAGGAGTAAATCAGCATCAGAAAACAAGAACAAGAGAAGGTTGAGGTAAAGAAAACTAAAACAAAAGCGAGGGGCAAAGGACCAGAGAAAAGACTGAGCTGTAACAAGAAACTGCACGCTGGGGTGTGATCACTGTGACCCGAGCAAAAGAAATAGTCTGAGCTGAATTTCAGTAAAAATTCCCCCACTAGTGGGTGCAGTCGCTGCCCTCGATTTGTGATAAATGCAACTATTCCGTTCTGTCGATTCTCCAGACAGGCGAAACAGCAGATTGTACCCGAAAATGGAGAGATGTAACCGAGCCTTCCCCTTTCACACCTTCCCCTTCCACCCCAAATAGATGCACGTGAAAATGGCATACATAAACAATGTAACACAGATCAATCTGGCTATGAGAAAGAGTTCTTTGGCTTCAGTCTGGCAGTGAGTGCCTTGACAAAGGATCGAAGGCATTGCCTYTGGTGATTGATGACTGTTCAGAGGAACAGAACTTCTTAAATATTCTCGTTTATTCAAAGCAAACCACAGCCAACCAACAAAACTCTTTAACCAATCCAGAACCTACTTGTCCCTCCAGCTTGTATAACCAGCAAGACCTAATTCTGCTCCCTGATTTTTCCCTTCGCAGCTGCGCACCACTGAACAGCCCAAGGTGTGGTCTGGCTGAGGTTTGGGTACTGAACTGTTTCCTTTGCATTAACCAAAGGATGTAATACGGAGTTTGAACTGGCTTTAGGCTGACATTTTTTTTCTTTTTATTTGGGCATGGACAATATCTGATCAGTTAGTCCCATGTTCCTTTTTCATTAGAAATTCGTGATTTTAAAATTCACTAAACCTTGAGGGAAGTGAGGTCCCCACAACTGTCAGTGTTGAAGCAATGTCTGTGTACCCCACGAGGTGCTCAGTAGCTTAATAAGGGTTCAGGTCCTCATGTGGACTCTGTTACCTCAAGATGTGTGAATTCCTCAGCTATTTCTTTTCCAGTGCCATCTGTAATGGGCTTGTGCATTTTCTCTAATTTGTGACCTCCTTTTCCCTGTTCCCCCTCCCAACTGTCCCTGCAAATGCTGTGCCCTTTTTGCTTTGAAAACCTATTTTTCCATCCCAGCAGAAAATATCGGCTCATTTCTGAAGTCCTGTTACACCAAAAGAATCTATCTCAATTAAAATCATTTTCAGAAGAATCGATCTCCATTAAAATTCTGGATCTACTGTGCTTTGTAGAATTAGTTGGGGGTTCCTTATAGATATGGGTGCGATTTCTGTACAGGTATTGTTTATCCCATATTCCTTCCTTCATTATTAATAATAAGACAAAGATTTTAGTCAGTGTAACCAGACCAGAAAGGAGCAGGGGGAAGCTCTGTGGCAGGTGGCAGCAAGTGACCGCCACAGGGGCACAAAGGCACTGCCGGCAGGGTTGGAATGGCAAGCGGAGCTGGCAYGGGGCCGAGTGCCATGGATTGTCCAAAGAGGCATCTGTGAAAGGCTCAGGATCCTGAATCCTGGCTGCCATGGTGCTCTGAACTCGTAGCAGCTGGGAGTCTGCCTTGGGCAGGAGATTGCTGCTGTCAACAAGGTGATTGGCAGTGTCTCTCTCCTTTTSGTCTCAGCAGCCTCTAGTTCCCGCTGAGTTTGTAGCAGCACGCCCAGCATCTCATCTCAGAAATAAAGGTACAATCTGCTGTGCCACTCCTCAAAGGTACCTGACCCTTTGCAGTGCTGACAGCATGAAAGAAAACAGAGATCACTTAAATTAATCCCATATTCAGGAACCGTGCATTACTAAAAATTAGTTATCTGTTTTGTACATCACTTCATTAACTCATACTGTGTCTGTAGTATCTCAAACGGTTGTTGGAATTTTCACTGCTATGTCTAAAGCTGGTGGCTATCTCAGAAAGCAATGTGGACAGATACTACTCTTCCAAACAGAACTGGCTCTCCTTTGCATAACTGTTTTTTCAAAAAAGGACATTGAGAAATAAGTCATTACATTCCACTTGGTACTATCAGATTTATGCTTATGTAAAGCAAGYAAGCAGAATTTGCATGACAGTTCTGGATTGCTCTTCAGAAATCTATATATTTAGTTAGTTTCAAGCATGCCACTTTCATTTCTTAGACATTATTTCTGTGAACACTGAATGTTCAATAAATACATCATAACTTTTTGGGTATGGATATGTAATTTAAGAGTGGAGAATAAAATAATATTCCTACCATGTTAGCTAAAGCAGCAAGAAATACAGATTTGCAAGGACTCCTTTTACTGATATAAATTACTCCTTTTACTGATATAAATTTTAACTCCATTAAGAGAGTTTGCATATTGCCAGGTTAGTTAGACCAGCAAAAGCACTTACTGTGAAAGCCACTTCTGGAAATGGCAAATAAAACTATCTCACTTTGATTGTTTTTTTTATCCCAAGTGTAACAGGGGTTACAAAGGATCCTGGAACATATTCTACAAGCACACAGAGATAACTTTACAAAATTATGCACTGCAGAAAGATTATCACCTTCTCAAAAGCACATGGAAGATGAAGGGAAGCAGAGTATCTTGTATAGACAAATTGAATATGTCACTGTGAGTGTTTTAACTGCTCGCAGAAAATGCCAAGCGATTTGTAATGATCACTTTCTTTTTATCGCCTCCCTTTATCTTGTAGCAGAGTGACAGTCTGGTACTGAGAAATAACAGAATGAACCACCAGTGCAGCCTGTTTCTGTAACTTCTTTCTTCAGTATATATGTAGGGTTCCCAACACAAGTACTGATCCCAGTCCAAYTGGAAAAAAAAAAAAAAAAARAAGAGGGAAAACATGACAAAACAGGGTTTAAGCAGCATGAATGTGGCTTTCTGTGGAGAAGAGTAAAAGACAATTGCACCAATTACATGCTGGTTTTGGAACTCCATGTAGCCTAAGCCTATTGAAATATATATTTGTGAGCGGGAGAGGAGGGGAAGGAGGATGCTCTGGAATGAGGCCTGGAGCTGGAATGCTGTCGTAAAGGCAGCAGTAGGAGGGAGAGCTATAAACTGGCTGCAGTCCTCAAATTTAAAAAAAGGTCCGGAAACATTTTAGTGCCAAATTATGTGACACCTTTCATTCCTGTTT